AATTCTAGAAAATTCCAGAAAATTCTCGAAAATTCCAGAACTTTCTAGAAAATTCCAGAAAATTCTCGAAAATTCCAGAACTTTCTCGAAAATTCCAAAACATTCTAGAAAATTCCAGAACATTCTAGAAAATTCCGGAACATTCTAGAAAATTCCAGAAAATTCTCGAAAATTCCAGAACTTTCTCGAAAATTCCAAAACATTCTAGAAAATTCCAGAACATTCTAGAAAATTCCGGAACATTCTAGAAAATTCCAGAAAATTCTCGAAAATTCCGGAACATTCTAGAAAATTCCAGAAAATTCTCGAAAATTCCAGAACTTTCTCGAAAATTCCAAAACATTCTAGAAAATTCCAGAACATTCTAGAAAATTCCGGAACATTCTAGAAAATTCCAGAAAATTCTCGAAAATTCCAAAACATTCTAGAAAATTCCAGAACTTACTCGAAAATTCCAGAACTTTCTCGAAATTTCCAGAACATTCTAGATATCGTACTATCTCGAAAAGGGTATATAAGCCGAGAATTTTTCATTTTGCTCATTTGTTTTCATTTTCTTCCACTCAACTTCAATGGCTAAAAGGACTAAAAAGCCAAAGTCAAAGCAGCCCACAGCCCGTGTTGGACGCCCTCGGATCCGTGCCGTCAAGGATAAGGCTCGAGAGGTAGGTAGTGTACTATCCTTATGTATCTTAGCAGGTCCTTTCAGGTTGGGGCTACAACTTCTACATCCAGTACATCAACTACAAAACCTTCCCAGAAGCGCCGATTGGCTATGAAAAAAGCTGAAACTGCAGAGAAGAAACTCCAGCGAAAAGACGAGGAGTCAGAGGAGATCACAGCTAAACGAAGACGACTCGATGCAATAAGAAAAAGGAAGGCGCGTGTGGAAGAGACGGAGGAAGAACATAAGAAAAGGACATCTTCCAATAAAGAAAGAACATCAAGAGCCCGTTCAGAAGAAACAGAAGATCAATACCGTCGCCGGAAATCTTCAAATAGAGTGAGTACATTAAGAGCCCGTTCCGAAGAAACGGAGGGAGAACGTATTCGTAGAATGCTAGCCGACGCTGAAAGAACTTTCAAAGCCCGTTCAGAAGAAACAGAAACCGATACTTTGAGAAGACGTGCTCAGAATAAAGAACATATGGCTGTGACACGTTCTACGGAGTCTCCTAAATCTTCAGAATCTAGGAAAGAGGCAGACCGGAAACGACATCATTCTCATGTCACTGAAGATTGTGGAATAGCCAGAAAAGACGTGAAAGTCGAGGAGAATTATCTTGGGAAAATGTCGATACAATGCTCAAGCTGTGGTGCTTTACACTATAAAGGTAACATTACACCTGGAATATTTTTCAGACTTTGAATCTTTTTTTCAGGGGAACAGCCCCAGAGCAAAAAGTTCAATACATGCTGTCGACATGGATTGATCCAACTTCCTATGTTTGATAATTTTCCGAAAGAACTCCACGAGCTCTTCACATCTTCTACTTCGGAGTCTGCTGAATTTTTGAAAAACATCAGGACTTACAACAACTCCTTGGCAATGGGTTCCATGGTCGCACACGTGGATACTCCAAAAGGAGGTGGTCCATACACTTATCGACTGCACGGGCAAGTGTTCCACGTCACTGGAGCTCTACATCCGGAACCTGGGCAAGAGCATCTCTGTGCCCAAGTCTTCATCCTTGACACCGAGGAAGCAGCCGCGGAGCTCGCGAATAGAAAAACCAAAGTATCGTGCTCCAAAGATCTATACAAGAAATTGGACGATCTACTTCACATGTACAATCCATTTGTGAAGTCATATAAAATGATGCGAGAGAAAGAGGAAGAAGAGGAATTATTGGCAACAGCCGAAAACCGAGATGTTAGAGAAGTGAAGATGGTTTTTCGATCGAACACAAATTTGAACCCCAACAGGTTAGTAACGGAAACTAAAAAAAACGGAAATTTCGAAAGCCCAGAAAAAGTTTGAACTTTGGAAAAACTACAAATTTAAATTTTGAACATCGAAAATTTTGAATTTCGATATTTTAAAACTCTGAGTTTCAAAAAAATAGAAGCTCAAAGCTTTGAGTTTTTGAAATTCGCAAAACTCAATTTTCCAGATACCAACTTCCAACAGCTGAAGAAATCGCTGTGGTGTTTGTTGGCGACGAAAACGAAAATCCTGGAAAAAGAGCCATCACAGTCTATCAAAGATCCACAGGAACTTTTCAATATCTTTTGGATACTGATAAAGAGACAGATCCATTGTGCTATCCTCTTCTCTTTGTGGATGGAAAATATGGATGGCACGTCAACCAGAAAAGACAAGATGGACATGGAGGAACGACCAAGATGAGTGCTCGGGAGTTCTATTCCTACTACCTTCACATCCGTTCGACCTTCTCTCCACTTCATCACGCAAAAAAGCTTTTCCAACAATTTCGCGTAGATGTCTGGACAAAAATCGAACAGGATCGTCTCAATTTCATCCGGCAACATCAGGATAGACTCCGAGTGGAGTCAGTACAAGGACTGATGGATCACATCAATGCAGAAGATGATGGTCCATGCGGAAAAAGATCTTTTTGCCAAATACTTTCACCGGTTCCCCAAGGCATTTTGTTTCCCTTTACCAAGACGCTTTGGCTGTTGTATCCAGATTCGGAAAGCCTGATTTGTTTCTCACGATCACGTGCAACCCAAGCTGGAAAGAAATCCAAGAAGCTTTGTTGCCAGGACAAGAACCTGTCGATCGTCCGGACATTGTTGCACGAGTCTTCAAACTCAAAATTGAAGAATTAAAACAAGACCTGTTCATCAAGCACATTTTTGGAGAAGTAGCTGCCTGGATTTTTGTCATCGAATTCCAAAAGCGAGGTTTACCTCACATGCACCTTCTGATGATTTTGAAAAACGAATGGAAGCCTAGGTAACTTTGAAATCATGAAAATAAAAATTCAATTTTTGAAAATTTCAGAACGGCTTCTGAAATCGATGAAATAGTTTCTGCTGAGCTTCCGGATCCAGAAGAAGATCCAGAACTTTTTGACATTATCTCCAGTGTTCAAATGCACCGCCCATGCGGTATCCATAACCCAGATTCATCGTGCATGGTTGGTGATGCGTGCTCAAAACATTTTCCAAAGGACTTTCGTGAAAGAACATCTGTTGAAAACGATGGATTCCCGATGTACAGACGACGGGACGATGGGAGAACAATATCTTTCAAAACGAAAAATTCTGGAATTGTTAAACTGGACAATAGAAGTGTGGTCCCATACAACAAGTACCTTTCCAGAAAGTTCAGAAGTCATGCAAATTTGGAAATTTGTGGGAACGTCGGAGCAGTTAAATACCTTTACAAATATCTTTACAAAGGTACATCTCGAGCTGCTATCCGCATCTACACTGATAAAAATGGAGTCGAGCACAGGACGGAGAATGAGGTCAACAGCTACTTGGATGGTCGATACGTCTGTGCTCCAGAGTCTCTTTGGCATATCTTCGACTTCCGAATGTCCGACAGAAGACCCCAGTTATGCAGCTCAAAGTGCATCTGAAGAATGCCCAAGGAGTCGTTTATAAAGAAGGAGAAGAAAAAGATGCAGCAGAGAGAGGACAGCTCCGAGAAACAACACTAACAGCGTGGTTTGCTGCAAACAAAAGATGTTATGATGAGCTTGAATCGGCTGGAATGATTCCAGAAGACGTTGTGGACTGCCGAGGTATCTATAATGTTGAGATGCCAGAACATTTCCAATTCACCAAAGGAAAATGGACTCTTAGAAAAAATGCTACACGATCGATCGGAAGAATGCATTTCGTGTCTCCGAGAGATCAGGAAAGATTCGCATTGAGAGTCATGCTCCTAAACGTCACTGATGCCAAATATTATGAAGATTTGCAAACCGTTGGAGGTGTCTTTTATGAGAAATTTGTGGATGCTGCTAAAGCTGCCGGATACTTGACTGAGGACATTTTCTATGAAAAGTCGTTGGAAGAAGCAGCGTCATTTCATTCTGCACCACAACTGAGAGGATTCTTCGTCACTCTGCTGATGTTTGGGGAAATTCATAATGCTGAAGAGTTATGGTTCAGGTGAGAAATTAAAAACAATTTTTATTTTGAAAATCAACATTTTTCAGATTTGTGGATGACTTCTCAGAAGACTTTTTATACAAGCACTTCCCAAAAGAAAAAGCCGAAGCTCTCGCTTATAATGATCTTATTGATAGAATGAATGCTATGGGAGAAAAGCTGGATAAATGGATGAGCCTTGGATACGAGAGAATCATTCCAGACGACGTCATTGATTTTGATTACTGCTCAAAAGAAGGAGATAGGATGAGATCAACGTTGGTAGCAGAACAAGAAGAAGTTATGAAGGCAGTTTTGGATGCCGTGAAAAGTGGAGGAGGTCTTATTTACGTGGATGGACCAGGAGGAAGCGGCAAAACATATGTATACCTTACTCTCATCAACATCCTCCAAGGTATGCATCTGAAAGTCATCCCAATTGCGTGGATTGGGATCGCTGCATCTCTATTGCCTCATGGAAGAACGGTGGCTTCCTTCTTCCATCTTAACATCAAGGATGGATGTAAGACCTCAACCATCCATCTTCAATCCGCCGAAGCCAAATACCTCGCCGAACTTGATGTCGTATTTTGGGATGAGGCTCCTATGAGCCCCAAATCGTCACTTGAAACAGTGGATCAGCTTTTCCGTGACGTCACCAAAATCGATAAACCATTTGTTGGAAAAGTGATCATCCTTGGAGGCGACTTCCGACAGTGCCTTCCAGTTGTGGACAGAAAAGGAAGAGATGAGCAAATTTCAAATTCCATCAAAAGATCTCATCTTTGGCCACTTTTCCAAGTCTACCATTTGAAGACCAACATGCGTGCCCAAAATGCTGATGAAGAATGGAAAAGGTAAAAAATTAGATATTTAATTTATAATTTTCAATCTGATTTTTTCAGTTTCCTTCTTGGGGTTGGCGATGGTCTGAAAGGAGAAGAGGGGACTGGAGTCATGGAAGTTCCAGAAGATCTCAGATGCGATGGAGATTTGGCCGAGGAAATCTTTGGATCTTTACTTCGAAACGGGTCTAATGTTTCTGAAATCTCCAAAGTGGCCATTCTCTCTCCAACCAACCAACAAGCACTTCAAATGAATCAAAAAGTGATGGAAATGGTTCCAGGAGAGATGAAGACGTATTTCAGTGTTGATGAGGTCGGAGACAACCAAAATAGTCACTCTGATGCTGCCAACTTTCCAACAGAATTTTTGAATAAAATGACTCCATCAGGATTACCACCACATAAATTGGAGCTGAAAGTTGGTGCATTGGTCATGCTCCTCCGAAACCTTGAAGTTCGAAACGGACTGTGCAATGGTACACGATTGGTTGTTCGAGAAATGGGAAAGCGGGTTCTCAGATGCGCTTTTATTTCGGGACCAAATGAAGGTGGAGACGTTTTGATTCCAAGAATCAAACTATCATTCGATTCCGGGATTCCATTCGTACTCCAAAGACGTCAGTTCCCAGTAAGACCTGCCTTTGCTATGACCGTCAATAAGGCTCAAGGCCAAACATTCGATCGTATCGGACTGCTTCTGGACGCTCCGAATTTTGCTCATGGACAGCTATATGTTGCATTGACAAGAACAAGAACTAAGGATGGAATCAGAGTTTGGGCTCCAGAAAAAGTCATGCATAACATTGTTTACAAAAACATCCTGTAGCTCCATTTCTAGCTTAAATTTTTCAACCCATAGCCTATTTTCATAACTATCCTTTTCTAGGAATTAAACTGTTGATCTGAATTTTCCCTTTTTGATGGTTTTAGAATTGTTCTTCTAATCAATTGTTCTACTAATAAATTTTCAAAAAATAAAATGATAATTGGAACTTTTTGAATTTAAACTGAAGCCAGTGGAAATCGCGGCGTAGCCGCGAATTTTCACTGGTGAAACTCTGATGAAGAAAAAGCACCCGAAAGAAAACTTCCGAAATTTGCAAACTCGAACACTCATTTTTTCAAATCTCAAATTAGAACTCTCCAATTCAGTAATTCGATTATTGAAAAATCCCTAAATTCGAAAATTTAAATATTCTGAAAACTCTAAAAATCGTATATTTGGTAAATCAGAGGTTCAGAAATTAAACATTTCAGAAATTTGATAAGTCTCGAACTCCGGAATTTCGAATTTCGAAATTCAAAAGTTATGACATTTAAAGGAGGCCAGACACCAAAAAAAAAAGTTTTCCTGATATTTTGCATAGAGAACCCCCATGAGGGGTTGAATTCATGACAGGCAGCTCAGGGGTAAGCGCTGCTACCGGCTGAGCTGCGGGGGGGGGGGGGGCGCGAAGGCGCCTGACGACCGATGGTCTACATAAGCGCGGCGCGATTTCGTCTCCCGAACTGTCCCCCGAAATTTTTGCTGTCTCGGCTCTTTTAAAGACAGAAATTCAGAAATTCGGAACTATTTCAATCACCTTAAATAGAAACTCAGAAATGTAAAAACCTAAAACTCCAGGTATTGAAAATGTGGAAAATAAGAAATCAGGAAAATTCGAATTCTGGAAGAAACTCTGCAAGTCTGACATTAGGAAAGTCAGATATTTATCTATTCCAATGAAGATTTTCAAATTCCTAAATTTTGGAACTCGTAAACATTGAAGGTGCAAATGGGAAGATTTAGTAATTAGTTGCCTGGTGCATCTACCCTCCAACTCCTTATAAAGGTTCCCTCTACCCACGCAACGACACTCCGCTATCCCGCTCGGCGCGCGCACAGTTTAAATTTAGTTTTGAGTGATTGCGAGCTTGAATTTGGCTCGTAGTTGTTCTAGAGACTCTTTTAAGGATTTCAAGTGAGTTTGCTTGAATTCTAAGCTTTTATTTGTTGTTTCTTTCTAACTTGTTCATAATAAATCGATTTTGTTACATTTCTTGTTGATTTTCTTCTATTTTATCACAGGAACCTGATACCCCGGACATACCGCGGGCAATTTGGGGGCCGAACCGTTTTTTTATCCGTTTATCCGTTCTTTTACCTCTTTTTCGTTGTTTTTGCATCAATTCTCTCCAGAGTTTGAAGGATCCAGTGAGAGGATTGCTGTGAAAATTAGTGAATTTCGCAAGAATTTCTCCGAGTTTGAAGGAACCGGCAGGAGATTCTTGTGAAATTTGCGAAGAGGACAGTCGTGCAGGTGAAGGCCTATTGAAGAGTTGATCAGGTAAGGCCTTTCGAGAAGACGCGATATCGGTAGAAGATTCAACACAAGCCCGACATTCTTTTGAAGGAAAGATTTGTTTTCAGGGTTGGAAATGACGTCGATCGGGAGCAAGTCAAGAAGCAACAAGGACAAGTCGGTGGATTCCGAGAAGAGTGCAGTGAGGACGGCGACGATGGAAAGCTGGACAGAAGCGATGCAGAATCAGGTAACACTGAGTGAGCGAAAGAAGCTTGTCAAAGGTTACGCTGATTTCATCGGAACCAGTGAGACAGTCGTGGAGAGTGTGCGTGAGCAGTTGGGCGTGCACAGCAAATGTTCAAGAGACAGAAAGATGTGATCGTGAAGCCAGTGAAAGAGTTTGTCAGCAAATTGACAAAGCGCTACAACGAGCTGGGCAGTGGAAAGTGGGAGCGCGTTGTGATGCGCATAATGCGAGAAAACGGGCTGGAAAAATTGGAAGACTTGCGGGATGCCGTCTTACCGGATAATTTGACAGCGAGCGAGAAAAATATGGAGTCAAAAGTGCTTGATAACCATTTTAATTGTTGCAGGACGGCTGGCGAAAAGACAAGGAAGAGCTCGAGGAGGAACTGTCAAAATCGAAGCGAGAGAACGATGAGGTGGCCAAGAAGCTCGAGGAAGCGTGGAAAGCCACCGAAAAGGCAGAGGAAACGATCGAGAAGCTGGAAAGGGCACTGCTGAAGGAAAGGAAGACGTCAGAGAAGTGGAAAAGGCAATGAGAAAGCGCAGAAGGTAAGAAGAAAGAAATACAGTCGAGAAATAAAGAGAAAATTCAGGTGCACTCAAGGAGATCGTCGTCAAGGAGTTCGAATGGTTCGTCGGTGGATTGGCGCGATAAGAGAAAGGAAAGAAAGACCGGTGAGTCTTTTTCTAAGAAGTGTGACCTGAAAAATGATGAAGTGAAGACTGGCGCGTGAAGGTGAAGAATTGGGAAGTGAGGAGCAGTGTGGGGGATTTTCCGGAAGGAAGTGTGCGAGTCAGCGAAAGAAGAAAGTGTGAGCGCGACAGTGAGAGATGTTCGCGAGTGTCACGGAACAGTTCGCGAATAATGGTGGAGTGTCTGGGCAGAATGCTAAGGGCGTCAGCTCTGCCAGAGCCTGAGAAGTTCGACGGGAAAGGAGACGTCAAAGAATTCAAGAGATCGTTTCTGTGGAAGTACAAAGCGGTCACGGAGAAAGACGCAGATATGGTGGCGATTTTAGAGGATAAATTTCTGAAAGATGCTGCTAGAACGTTGTTCAAAACGCTGCCGAATCGATTCGATCGATCGATCGAGTCGCTTTTCAAAGAGTTTGAAGAGAAGTTGAGAAGGAGGCAAGGAGATCGGGAGGCGGAAGCTCTCAACGAGTTTGAGGAGCTGAAGCGAAAGCCGAAACAGCCGATGTGGGAGTTTTTGATGTCTGTGGAGAAATGGTCGAAGAGAGCGTTTCCACATCTGGAAGAAGAGACACTGTCACAGCTGAGAGTCACAAAGCTTATGAGAGCGCTGCGGGAAGATCCGACGATGCAAAAACTGATGACTATGAAGCGATACGAGGTGGCGAAAAAGGACCAGTACGAGTTCCTTAAGGATATCGTTCTTCAGCAAGAGAACGAAGACAGGAGAAGGCAAGGGCTCGGAAAATCGGATCGACACGAAAAGAAGGGGAATAGCTGGAAAAATGAAAAGAACAAGGAGGCGAAACAAGGAGACACGGAAACGGAAAAGAATGGGTCGGAAGACAGTAGCCATGGGAACAGAAGTGAGAGTGAGAGCCAGAGAAGGGCAGCGATCAAATGTTATAAATGTCAAGGAATGGGGCATATAGCTAGAGATTGCGATGCAAAAGTGATTCACCACGTGGAAACTGATGAAACAGGAAGTGGTGTGGGCGCGAAAATGAGGGAACAAGTAGAATTGTTGGGTCAGAAGCGCATAATGGTTATCGACAGTGGCGCAGAAGTATCTGTCATGTCGACAAAAGTGTGGGATGCACTGAAGAAAGGTTGTGTGAACTGGAGGCAGAGAGTCGAAGTACTGACGAAGCCAGTGTTTGCCTTGAGGAATGCCTCAGGGAAGAAGATGCCAGTGAAAGAACAACTAAAGATTCCAATCATGGTGAGAGGAAACAAGACTAAAGTGTGGTTCCAACTGGTGGGAGACAACGCTGAAATCCTCTTGTTGGGAATGAATGCTTTCGAAAGCATCGGGGTTGAGCTGGCATGGAAGCCAAAGCAGGAAGAGCGCGTAAAGAAAGTGGGGAAATGTCCAAAAGCGAAATGGGAGAGAAATGCTGAGCGTGGGAAGTGTGAGACAAGTAGCGCTACAGTTAATCATATCATGACTGAGGGAAATGTTGTTGAAAACAATCATTTTTGCAGAAAGCTGATGGAAGAAGGATGCGGATGTAAAAAAGGAAAGTGCACAGTCCAAGAAGGAGACAACTTTTGTTCAAGTGTGCAACAACTCGGAGTGGTGCTGTCAGCAAAAGGAAAAGGTGTGGATTTGGAGAAATGGAATTTGTTAAAATATTCCAAAGAATTCCAGGCACAAGTGACAACGGTTGAGAAGGAGGAAGCGTTGCAGAAGTTTGCAAAGAAGTGTCCTCAAGTGGCAGAGGCAATTAGGAAGGAAGGAACAAACGGCGAATGGGAAGAAGCGGCGATGAAGATCAGAGTGGCGCTGAAGAGTGAGATGAAGCCAAAGAAGACAATCATCAAAGAGCCAGCAGTGATAGTTTCCCCACGATTGAAAATCTCGGGAAGAAGAAACATTCTGGAAGTTCGGAATTCGCATGGAAGCGATTTCATGGAGAAATATGACTGGAAGAATGTGAAGAGCGTGATCTGGTTGTGGAGAGTCACAAAGGACAAGAAGGTCAACCAAAGGATCTATGAGATGATCGAGAAGTTGGACAAAGAAGGCCCAGAAGTCACGATGATGCCATGTAAGCTGGAATGTGACATGAAAGAAGTTGATGAGGTGACAGATGAGTGGAGGAAGAAGCTGAAGACGTTGAACAACGTGAAGCTGATCGATCCAAAGAAGGAAGTCGGAAAGCGGAAGATGCCGCTCATTGGGGCATCATCGGATGCGTACGAGTCGAAAGAATCGCTGGTTCGATATCTGGAGCAGGCTGTAGAGGATAATCCGTGTGTGAAACGACTGAAGGCGATGTCGGAGGAGAAGGTGGAGCCACAGAGCAAGCAGACCAAGTCCGAAAAGTAATTAAGGACATTTTTGGGATTTAAATGTTTCTTTTTTTTTGTATTTTGGTAACTATTCTAGATTTGTAGTAGTTTAGGGTTTAGTAGAGTTAGGTTAAGTACTGTAGGTATTTTATTGTAATGTTGTGTGTGTGAGTAGGTGAGGTGCGTTAGCAAAGAGTGTAAGGGTCGGAGAGGAATGTGAGTCGTGGCGAGGATCATACCTTTCTCCGGTCAGGGGTCCGGATTTCTAGAGGAGGGGGAAGTTGCCTGGTGCATCTACCCTCCAACTCCTTCTAAAGGTTCCCTCTACCCACGCAACGACACTCCGCTATCCCGCTCGGCGCGCGCACAGTTTAAATTTAGTTTTGAGTGATTGCGAGCTTGAATTTGGCTCGTAGTTGTTCTAGAGACTCTTTTAAGGATTTCAAGTGAGTTTGCTTGAATTCTAAGCTTTTATTTGTTGTTTCTTTCTAACTTGTTCATAATAAATCGATTTTGTTACATTTCTTGTTGATTTTCTTCTATTTTATCACAGGAACCTGATACCCCGGACATACCGCGGGCAATTAATTCATAAATTCTCGAATCGCTAATATTCGGAATTTTCAAGATTTCTGGGAATCTCTCGCTTCTCAATCTCTCGTACTCTAAGATTCTGATTTACTGCATTTTACATTTTTTTTAAATTTCTCAGTTCCCGATTTTCAGAATTTCTAAATAACTTTCAAACCGAAATTTTGAGGTTTCAGATTTGAATATTGCTTTAATTATTTTCTCTAGATTTGTACTGCGAAAGAAGAACGGGCTGAATTCAAATATAGCCCCCACCCCAATTCAAGTATAGCCCCCCAAAATGAACCATAGTAGAGCCCCCCACCTCCAACAATCTAGACACTTGCAGCAGTTCAAAAAAACCCCCACCAATTCAAATGTAGACCCCAACTTTTAAATGGTCCATTCCAATTCAAAATAAGCCCCCCCCCCATTCAATTATAGACCCATTTTTGCGTAGTTTGTGGTGTGTGAAGGGTACCGTAACCGTCATGATGCAAATTTTGAGCTTTTTTTAAAAATTTGGTCATATTGAGGTGGGGGGGGGGGGCTATATTTGAATTATACCAAAGAACGTCTACAGAAGACGTCAGAAGCAAAATTTCTGAAAACGAAAGGGTCGGGTAAAAACTAAGACACATTTCTGATCTATCTGTCCAAGTCCGAGCTCAATCGACAACGTTGAGTAGATCAACCATCACGCGACATACATTCTCACAGACAGAATTTGGTGTTTGTTATTAGTAATGATGGTTTATTATCGGGGATTCGTCTATTGAGCAAAACGCGTGAAAGCATATTATAGTGTCGCAAAAGACAAAACAACATTTTGAATATTGTAAAATCCAAAATTTCTTGAAATTCGGGTCAAACACAGAGTCCAGTAGAGAAGCCCATGTCGGATTCGCAAAGGGTTGGAGACGGGCAGTTGGTGCAAGTGAGGCCTTGTTCGTACATGACTTCTCCGATAACGTTTCCTCTGGATAAAAAATTACATAAATTTTAGCATCAAGGTTCTCATTATATATTAACAGATCGACAAAGTCAGTTAACGGATATTTTGCAGAATGGCTTTCCATTGAAAAAAAGAACTTACTTTGGTGTATAATGACAAACCACAACTATGCGAGTTTTGTTAGCTTGAGATGGGTCGGGTCCGCAGTTTTTCACTCCGCAGCCGACGTACTTGGTTTTAGCCCAATACATTTGTGTCGCGTCGGCCACTCCACTGGCCAAAATGGTGGCGTCCATGGTCAGCGAGCTCAAGCCAAAGTCCGATAATTGCTCATCCCATTTGTATGGAGCATCAGTAGCCTGGAAATATTTTTGTCCCTTTTAAAAAAGATTCTTCGAAAAAAGGCCCGTCAATCAAATATACTGTAAACACATTCTTGAGTATGGTACAATTGTTTTTTCCCCCGTCCTCAAGGAGCAAATCAAGCTTCTTGAAAGCGTTCAAAAGGCATTCCTGTTCCGATGTTATAAGAAGTTCAACTATCCCTATATATCCTACTTTATATCCTACTTTGATTGTCTCCGTGATCACAATTTAGAATCCTTAGAGTACCGTCGACTTCTATCCGATCTAGTTTTTATGTATAAAACTCTAGTTTCCCGGGAAATTGCAATTGCCCATAATCTCTTCATTGTCCCGTCTCATCATAATCATCTAAGACGCCACCCGTATTACATTCGCTGTACATTAAAAAATGCTTCAAAACTTTTTGCTCAATTTCTTACTCTCCGTATTATATCTTGCTGGAACTCGCTTCCAAAAACCCTGTTCCCACCCTTGATTTCATCCATCTCTTTTAAAACTAATTTAAGTCATGTTAATTTATCTTCTTTCCTGTTCTTAAGCGAACATAATTTCTAACTCATTTGTTAAATTTGTAACACGTTGATTTTATAAGTGACTGATAGTCCTAAATCTATATATTATTATAATTATTAACACTCAATAATAAAATCTTCCAAATTGTGAACTTCAAACCCATATATCCCATTACCTGTGAATGATATCAAAAAGTGATCAGTTGACCACTTTTTGATAACTAGCATAGTCTCTGAAATGAATTTGCTGAAAGTTAGAAGGATCATTCTAACCGTTTTACGATATTTATTTCTCATTCTGAATGTTGAATTAGCCTTTGTTTTGGAAAAGAGCCGATGAACTTACATATCCATCAAGATAAGTTGCCGGGGAAGTGGTGAATTTATTAAAGATGTTTTCCCCGTAGCCAGTGGCACCAGATTTTGAAGTTGGACAAGTGTCGGCATAGTTTTGCGCAGAATATGCCAGTGTAGAGTCCCAGAACTAAATTCAAAGTAAAGAGATTATTTAAAAGATCGTTGACTAGCGTCCTCGGCCTACGGTCAACTCCGCTAGGCGCGGCTGTGCCGCGCAATTGGGTGGAATCAGATGCAGGGCCTTCGGCCCTGGCTCAGTGGAATCAGTTGATCCAGGGTTCAGTCTGTTCTCCCTTCGCTCGCTCCGCTCGCTCAGGTCAAACAGACCGGACAGGGCCTTCGGCCCTGTATCATGGAAAGTTTCAAATCGAGTGGTATCAGTCGCAGGGCCTGTGGCCCTGGTTCATTTCTCTATCCGAATCAGAACTAAAAATTCAGAACCAGTAGATATCAGGAATAGCAAAAACCCCTAAAAACGGATGCTTTAAAGATGTTCCTGGAAAAGGAGGGATACATTACTCAAGGCAAAGATTTCGAACGATTTTTCACGATATTTTATTTTTGGCAAAAAATTTTGGTCATTTTTTTCCGAAGTTTTTTGTGGTTTATTACCTATATCTCAAGTACTAGCGTACCTGAAAAAAATCTGAAAACAAAAAATGAAATTAGATAACTTCTTTTATAGGGAGGCAAAAAATCAGATAAATCCATTCAGTGGTTTTCGCGTACCAAGGTGGAAGCTGGACTCTCGGAATTTCGAACATTTCACTCAAAACCTATTAACCTTTTTTATTTTCAAGCTAATTAAGTCATATTTTTTGTCGACATATCTATCCAAATTACGGATCGAATGAGAAAACCGGATTTTTGATTTAGGCCTTAGTTCGGCAGAAAAAACGGAAAACGTGGAGAAGAAACCGGATCCACTCGTACGTTTTTAATCATAAATTGGTTTATCCGGTTCAACTTTTGACGATTTTCGGCAACCGGATAGCCACAGAGATTTTCTAACGATAGAAAAAAAAATCAGCCAAAACGGACTGAAATTGACCAGAAAACCCCGGAAAACGTGAAAAAACCGGACCCCCTCGAAGGTTTTTAATCATAACTTGGTTCAGCCGGTTCAACTTTTGACGATTTTTGGTAATCGGATAGCCATAGAGATTTTCTATCGTTAAAAAAAGAATCGTCTAAAACGGACCGGAACTGACCTAGTTAGAATTATTTTGAGAAAAGTTTCATAAAATGTCGAAAATGGGGGTACGTAACACCTACTCGATTTAAAGGAAGAAGG